TGTGCGTCATCCGAGCCTCTGTTTCAGGACGCCCGCCATCTCACGATGAATGTTTTGTAGTTCAGAGTTTTGTGTTTTTAGAGCATTTGTATTGTCATTTCACCGACGTTCACGTCGCTGAATCGGATTAATTTTAAAATTAATTTATCTCTAATTGACACTAATACTTTGTTTTTCATAATACACTACGAAGAACTATGACGATTGTTCATAAAAATCCTGAATTTCAGTATTTAGCAGTCCCCTCTTCGTATGCGAAACGTTCCACGAGACTGAACTAAATTCGACGCCGAAATCTCCTACATATATTTACAACTAAATGGCTTTAAATCTTCCTGAATCCCGTTGTCCTTAACTTACGTGAAGTACTCAGCAAAGCCGTTCAAATTTCCCACTGGGCTTGGCCGCATTCATGTATCACCAACTGCGTTTGCCTCTTAATCAAGTGATTCATATTAAAACCAACACTACATATTTCACTGTGTGACACATAACTCGCTCACGAACCATTTTTAAATGCATGAAGTTCTATTTTAAAAGCTTTCACAATCTGTCAGGACTCAAGTCATTAACATTTGTATTCATGGGTATTTTCGCAAACTTCATTGCGGTCATCGTGCCAAGGAAAGTGAAGTAGCCATCAAGATGACTCTAGTGATAAGAAAATGCCTCGTTCTTCATTATACCTAGCTTACGTCGAACATTTCTCGAGATATCATCAGCGTCGCTTGTGACCTAAAAGACAGAATCCTCGGCTTCATGATCATCGTATCAACCCGAACATCATTTGCTGAGGAGACTCATTCGGGCACGTGTACTGTCTGGTCGGATAACCCCAATAGCCGAAACTGGTTTTAATGTTTGCATCGAGCGCTGCAGATTAAGATCCTTTGTTCTACGCGAAGCGAAAAAAAGAAAAAAAAGAAAGGAAAGAAAATCGAAAGGTTTCAAAGGATGAGCTCACCTATGAGACGCGAGGGGTATTTTGGTTTCTTTTCTAGGTTACTTGAGGTCTTGGTGTTGCTATCTCTTGAAGGCTCGGAATGCTTTCCGTCCATAACGAAGACGCCTGAAAGCTGTCTTTATGAAAAATGGAACGCAAGGCCAACTTCCTTCACCACAAGAGCACGAGGCGCGAGACTCTTCGGCTATTAACTCGTGTGATTTCACGTGCTACAACTTTCCAAGGAGCCTAGTTACCTCCAAAGCTCTTGCGATTTCGCTAGGTAAGACTCGTAAATTGATCTTTTTGGGCGGCAAGCTTTCATAGTAGCAGAGCGCAGTCTGTCATATTCGCTGTCCTGTTCGATACAATGCGCTCATAATATATTGTGTATGTGTGTGTGTTTGGGGGGGGGGGGGGTTGTAATGCCCGGTAAAAGGTATAGGCGCTTATTAACGCTAAAACACTCACTACTGAAACGCGCGTCAGATGAAGCGGCTGGTCGTTTGTGGCGGTGGCGGTTCCGAATGAATCTTGAAAGAGGGATTAATGTTTTACGGTGTTGTGGGGCGTGCCTAGCGAGCTCGCCTGGCTTACAAATGGCTTGCGAGAAGGGTTGTACAATTGCCGAATCCACATGCGTCCAAACATGTTAATATTTCAAAACCTGACACATTTCTTTCAAAATGAAAACATTTAATTTACTTCGATTAACCCTTCGCCCTTACTTTTTTTTTACGAATGAAAGTTTGTTTGTTAAATCGCTGCTGTAAATTCAGCACGCTATTAGATTGCAATGTTAAAGGAACAAAGGTTTTTCCTTCTCTTTCTGTTTTCTTTTTTGTCTAGGCTAGAAACTTAACTGTACAAATGTTCAACCGTAAGTTCCGCGTTAAAATGAAAAAGGTTACTGTCTACTCAAAACAAATCCTTTAGCAGATCCGGAACTAAACGTGGACAGAAACTCGAAACCTATTCCACATAAAATGCGCGATCACACCTTATTTCATGTATAGAAATACGATCGTTTAGAAACACTGCCTTGCACAGAATCGAATCTTCACATTTTTCACCAAACGCGGAACACAACACCACTCCTTGGAGACGTCGCGCCGATTTCAGGGATCAGCTGCAGCGAGGAACGCTATTTCACGTAATCACTTGAACACCACCTCGAGTCACTTCCTCCGCACCCAAAATCAACTAGCCGCAAAAATGCAGTCACCTCCAAGAACTAATTAGCCCGAAAGAATATTTCGAACTGTCCCATTACATAACTAGGACAGTAGTTCGTAGATTTCGCTTTAAACGAAGGTGTCACCATGCACCGGTTCACTTCACGAGTCCCGCTGCGCGAAGAGACGTTACCAGACGCTGCGCAGACAAGCGGTCACAACGCTTCTCGGGACTCAACAGGCGGCTTTTTGTTGGGGCCCTGGAGCGCCTAGACTGAAGAGTGTCTCCAACTGCTCGATAGGCGTCACGTGGTTTAGAATTGCTTTTGCAGTAGGAGATGCGAGGAGGCGAAAGTGTAAATCGTCTGTTATCATCTCCGCCCGCTATCCTCCTCGCCGCCCGGCGACGTGCGCATGCGCACTAGCAATTAGTCCGCCCAAGAGACGTCCGTGGTTTGAGTTGCTCCTTCTTTTAAATCAATGCTCTCTAGGTGGTGCTGCCGCCGCCACCATGAGCGACATCTGGTGGACTTGCGGTGAACCACCAAAACGGGTCGATAGCAGCGTGGTCCAATCAGAGATCTGCCTTGAACAAGGTTGCGGAGAGGGGTGGGAAAGGGAGGGGCGCCTATACGAGAGCGCCTGAAGAAAAGAAAAATAACGATACATTGAAAAGCTCTTTGTGAGTTCACAACACTTGATCTCCTACAAGTGGGCTAAGCGAAATGTTATCTCAGCAAGAAGCCCGAAAGAATCTGTTTTAATTGGTTTTCTTTTTTTTTTTTCTTTTCACAACAATGATCAGAAATAATTACGAGTCTAGCCTCTTTCAATATTAACACACAGTCAGTTGGCGTGTCGGGACAAAATCTCAGTCTTGAAGATGCCATGAAGAATACATAAGAGGACGTTTGAAAATTGCAAAATACTCCATGTTTTTTTTATTAATAATGAGTTAATGATTACCGAAGTTTTATTCGGGGTTGTTAACGTCACCACATACACACCTGACCTCAGAGATGTTTTTTTTTTTTTTTTATTTTCTTAATTTCTAAATCTGGATATTTTCAAATAATACCGTTTTCAAACAACTTACCTTTCTCTTCAAAGTGTGCGCTTAACAACTGATAATGATAATTTAGAAAAATTTGTTCATATCATGTCCAAATTTTCTTCTTGAGATGCCTGAATGAGATGGCCGTGCAAATTTTTTCATAGCTTTTGGTCACACGTGACATCAAATGACAGCCCATAAAAGAGCGCCAAAGCAGATACGTTATGATGTGTGTTCCCCGCAACATGGTGCTGAGACTTCTGAGCCATGTTGACCCATGTTATTGACCTCTAAGTAAGCCACAAGCTAGTGGGAAGGGGGCACATAACATGCGTAACATTGTACCCCGCTCACGCCTGAGATATACGTCATGTTGTCGTTTTCAGTATGAGCGTCACCTTAAGAGGGAGCGCTCCTCCAAGCCCCGTAGAGAATACACGCGATTTTCTGCCATTTTACAAAAATGGCAGAAATTTCGGGATTGAACAAACTTTGGACGAACGAATCGGTTTCCTCAGAAGTTTTGTGAAATTTATATAAGAAAATAATGGAGAACTATACTCTTATAAAATACCGGATGATTAAATTATCATTAGTAACCCAACATCCAAACATCTTAAAAACATTTTAAAAGCTTAAAGAAAAATCGTCGTATTTCTTAAAATTCATGTGCCTTCACAATTCAACACAAAAATTCATGAACACTGCAGATGACACGTACAGACCCTTTATTGTGTATATTTGGACCTTTTTCAAATACATTTTCACAATAGTTATTAGTTACAAAAAGAAATTTCCCCAAACTGACGAAGTCCCCCTTTTCGCAATAAATACTTCACGCTGAGTTGAAACGACTTCTTCATTTCACTCCTTTGCACTGACAAGACACGTGGAAGAGCTTTTATTTTACAATACTTGCATATTGTAAACGACTTAATTTCCGCAATTACCCGAATTTCGCCGATTTCGCGGCTGGAAACAAAAATATCGGAAGAGAAAAAGATCACGCAAGTATGCTATCCAATGGAAAAAGTAAAAAGCATGTCTCAATTGCAAAATTTTTTGCCCACGATATATTTCCGAACCCCAAATTTCGTAAAATTCGCTATCTAGCCTGTGGAACTGAAATCGTCTACAGTACGTCCGTGTGGGTTTACAATAATGCAATTTTACGCTTAACGCGTAAAACGTTTACAAGGTGTGGTGTTCACTTTGACTACATAGGCCTCTGCATTATCTCTTTTAATTCGGGTATTGCAAGGCCCACTTCATTTTTGTAACCGTCTCGGTACTCTACGTATGTTACGTTGGCTCTGGACCTTCTAAGTAGAAGATGAAAGCCAAAGTGCTACTTGTCCTTCAACCTGGAGTGTCGTTCCCTTCACTCGCCGCACTCTATGTCTCTGAAGGTAGTCGCGCAAACAACTTGTTTAGTTATATATTTTCACTTATTACCTATGCTCAATGTACTATCGCGTTCAATGTAGGCTGCAACATCCTTTCATGCTTCTCTTGCGTACCTGCCAGCGCTTTTAGAGAGCTTAGGTCCGAACTAAGAATAGAATTCTAAGTTGAGGCATAGCCTCCTATAATCTCAAAGCCTGGCAGTTCGACGACGGAGCCATGACTGCCCGGTCGCGGATTTGGAGCGCAAGGATCTGGTAGCATAGAGCATCAAAGAGCCATCTCTTAGGGAACCTGGACGTCAGCGCACAGCTTTTGCATCGGCGAGAACCCGAAATACACTTGTTCGCTCGGGAGAAGTCTGTTTCGGCGTCACGCCGCAGCGGGGCGCCAGTCACCTGGTTCTCCTCTCATCCGTTGTCTACTTTTGACATTTCGGCAGCCGCTTCTCGTGGCAATCTGCCAGGCTTTGTCAGTATATAGGACGCTATGGTTGAGGTTACATAATTCGGACTCGGGCAAATGGAGATAAGAGAGCTTGTGGGGACCACAGACGCAGAAAAAGTTCGGATAGAATGTTTTAGGCCATACTGTTCGTGATAGTCTATGTCTATTAAATGTGACCATTATTTTGTCTGCCCCCGTTGTTGTTGTTTCGCGCAGAACGTCCGGAGTGCACCGTGCGTACCACGATGACCTCAGGGTCCAGGCGCCCTGTACCGTCCCAGAAACTCGAGCAGGTCCTTGTTAAGGTAGGCCGAATTCACAGTCCCCACAATGAAGTGCACGTGCGTGTACTGCACGTCGTCGATGTAGTTGTTCTTCTTGACGCGGGGTCCCAAGTCCCGAACGAGGTCTCGCACGTCCTGCGGTGCCACGAACTCGTCACCCTCGCTCCAGAAGGCACCGACGTCCGTCTTGACGTTGGACAAGTTGTAGAGCGGCGGCCGTCGCTGCGAAGAAGGAGCAGGGCTTCTCACGAGGCAACTAATTTCTTAAACCTGCAGTTGTTTTTTTCGTGATGTTTAGTTGTTTTTTTTTATACAAGGTACACAGCGGAGAGTAAATTTCTACGTTTTTATCAGTAAAAATTAAACGACGAACTTTAGACTGCTTACTAGTAGGAATGCGAAAGCGTTCCTACAGGTAAGCAGTCTTGTAGGATTGTGAAAGCATTCCTGCAAGCAGCACCTGTAGGAATGCGAAAGCATTCCTACAGGTAAGCAGTGTTGTAGGAATGTGAACGCATTCCTACAAGCAGGGCGCCACATCTTCCTTTTTCACACGGCACTCCGGTGGTGACATCAGGCTTTCCCACTGCACAGGCGCGGAACATCTCCGGCTCCACGGTTTCCGTGACGATGCATCTGCGGTGCTGTGCTTTTGTTTTGTTTCATTTCTGAGGCGCGTTCGCTTTGACCTTGAGCGCCCCGCCGGCTTCCGTGACAAGGCATCTGCGTTGCTTTTCTTTTCTTTATGTTTTATTTTTCTGAGGCGCGTCCGCTTGGCAGCCAATGGGAATTTACGTTCCGTTTCGCTGAGCCAAAATGGGAATTTAGGTTGCCCTTCCGCTTATCCAGTGGGTATTTAGGTACCTTTTTTTGCTGCTACAGACATCAGATAACGCAGGCTTTGTCTCCATGGAACAGTTAATGCTTTCGTATTAAAACTGATGAAGCCGCGGTTAGTCTGCTTATACACCATGCTCAAGACACGGCGCTTTCTGCAGACATGATGAGGCAAGCATCTGCGGACACGTCCTAAGCATCTTCGAACCATATCTGTGTTCCATACGTACGCTTGGAACATGTTCGCAGACACTTTTTGTACGACCAATGTGACCGTCATACAAGGAAGAAGCATCGCATCAGACACCGTCTGCAGGCTGTCTTTCGTACGATGTAGTCTGACAACGGCTTACGCTGTTTACAAACCAGTCTGGCCTTTGCCCACACACCAGGTGTGGGCAGCGGGCGTGCGCAGGAACCGGAGTCGTGCGACAGGAAGCGTCTGCGCATGCGCAGTTCCGACAGCAGCGCCACCGAAGCAGCGTGACGTCAGAGAGTTGAGTTGGTGTATAGAAAACCTTTGAAAAAAAAACAAAAAAAAAAACGCCTTCTGCGCGGCGTTATCTTTGTCTGCTGCAGGCTGTGTAACGTTTTCGGAGCGTGCGCTGCTGATCTGCAGCGCGGTGTAAACCCCGGATTCTGGGTTCTGCAAGCGATGGAACCCAGGATTCTACGTTCTGCAAGCGCGAGCTTTCGCTACACGTGCTCCGAGCTGGTATGCACTAGCCCACTCAGCCACCGGGGTTTCCCTTTCTGTCTTCCCGAAACGACAGTTTTCCAAAGCAAGTGCTCATGCGCGACTCACTTCACTATGACCTGTTGCAGCTTAAGAGAAGCGGTACAAGCTCTCCCCACGAAGCCGCCTTTCTTTCCGTTTCAGCACAGCGAACATTGGAGAAGAGTTTAAAGGATCGAAGAAACAATCACAGCGGCCAGAAGGCTTTGTGGGAGGGGCCTCTCTTCACCTTTTTGTGTTGCAACACGCTATATTGTTTTTGATCATTCACTTAATTGACATACCAAGTAGACAGCAGTCACTTAGAGATAAGGGTCATTTCAACTTTACAATCCCCTTGGCTTCGACCAGAAAACCCCAGTCCTAGATGTATAATCTCACCTGGCCGTAGAGGACACGATTCATCTCTACTCCGTAGTCGAATTTCTGAGGTTTCTTGGACTTCACCATCTGCAGGAAACATCAAGTACAGAATTCGAGAAATAACCCAATGGCCGGTCACTCTGTGGCATAAAGTTAAATCAGATGCATCTGCCAACGTTAAAAAAACAAAACGAACTGTTCAAGAGCATCGACCCCTAGTACAAATTTATCTCGAGCCTTACCTGATCTAAATGAATAATATTCTTCATGGAAGTTCCAGAAGGAGCGAAGCACAGGTACAGCGGCAACCGCGTCTGCGTATTACAAGACACTGTTTAAGAAATCTTGAACGTGGTTTTTAAACGCGTCGTACAGCATCCAGGTTTTCTTTCTTGTCTAATTTGCAGATATGCCTACTTATTTTTACATGAAAAGGTGCAATGCCCTGAAGCTTTAGAAGCAAACGGTATTCTAAATGAATGAATGGATGGGTAAATGATTGCAAGGTGGTTGCCTTTTTTTTAATTGGCTGGTGACTTGAGCCACCTGTCATCGTAAATATTACCCGTGGTACCATCCTAATTTTTGTTGAAGCGAAGCCAAGGGACACCACGCCACCAATGAAAAAAAAAAACACATGAAGTAAAGAAATGGGGACTTGTCGAAACTGTGCACAATAAAAGGGGAATTAAGTTCACAAGATCGGAGGCCCGCCGTGAAGCCAACACATACAAATGCACGCTTTGTTCTTTAGAAAAGGCTCCACTCCACTGCGCACCAAGAAGATGAAGAACAACCCGACTATTGAGCGCCGCCAACCTCATTGACGTAGTTGCTGCCAAGGTTAATCAGTCGGTCTCCAAAAAACGTGCAGATTCCTCTTGTGAGGTATGCGCAGAACCGCCGGGCCCAGGGTAGAATTCGGAGGCCCCTTGGGAGCACTTCATGATGCCCCATGAAGGAGGCAGCCTGCTATTTTACGATAAAGCAAGAACGAAAAAATACATGTTAGTTTCGAGCGCCATGGACGCAAACCGCAACGCAATAACCACGAGATTAACGAACAATCATTCACCGCATGTCATAACAATGTTTAGTTCAGATTACGGGACTATGTGTGCCATTTTCTTTTGCACTTACTCTCACATAGTACTCAAAGCGCAAGCTCGCCTGCTCCTTTTGCAGGGGTTGTGGTGGTGCCAGAACGCCGATCTCTGACTGGCCTAGCTGTGATTGGAAGGATAGTGGGTAGACCTTAAGGCAGCTTACTTTGAGGTCTACCCCCTAACCTTTCAACCAAAGCCAATCGGAGCTCGGCATTCTGACGTCACCACAACCCCTGCAAAAGAAGCGGGCGAACTTGCGCTTTGCATTAAATTCAACTGAAACGCAGTCGGGAGAGTAATTTTCGCGTCGCAGCAGTCATGCCCCAGACGGCCCGCGGCGTGCGCAGACGTTTAAACTGAAAAGGCTCAGTTACTTGTGAATACACAATGGACGTATATATCCTAATTCTAATTGGATATCTGCTAAGTTCTCGAATGTTAGAGCCAGAACAACCTTATATTTTTTTTTTCGCGAACACGTTTAGACAAAGACGGTTACGGACAGAGGCGTCGCAAGCGCCGGGAAGAGAACACTGTCCCAAGGCATGCCGCCATTACGAAAAAAGGGTCCTGAAAGGGTGGTGTGATCGCTGCCCTTTTCAGTGCCACTGTTTACTAATCGTTCAAAATCAGTGGCCGTTTTGCCGGGTTCATGTGGAACGATAATCGTATCTTTTTTTTTAACCGTTCTTTGGCTAGTGGCTCCAGATTTCGTGAAGCCGATTTTTGCGGAGCCGCATTTTGTGAAGCCGTGGCCTGTGACGCCCATAATGCAACGCGTACAGTGTTGCATTGTGGGATGTCACAGACCTACACACCAATTCAGTTTCTCCGCTATATTAAGAGAGGAAGCTGTATTTGTGTATACGTCACGTGAAATCAGGCCATGTGACGTCAATCTCCCCGCTAAACTTAACGGGAAAAATAACTTCCCGTGACCTACGCACCAATTCAATTTCCCCCGCCAAATTTAGCGGATAAAATTGGCGTCACGTGACCTGCACAGCAGGACCAACGTGGCGATGTAGGCGAATTGGTTCATGATTTGAACTGGTAGCAGCGCGCAAAAAACCCAAAGACAAAGGGAGAAATGCACCAGACGAGCGCTGAACTTCAACTGAACGTTTAGTGAAACGAACACACCCAAGTAAACAACCACACCGCTATCGCATCAACGCTCAAGTTAAGCTACTTTTTTTTTATGTAAATACACCGAAGTCTTGCTAACACGAGTGGGCCTTACGACTCCGCCCACTCGAAGCTCGTTAAAAGGGAAAGAGCGTAATCGTGCATGCAGGCTTGTCTAGAGAAGTCGTGCCACCACATGCTACAAGAGAGCTTTGGCAAGCAGGTGAAACGGCTTGGGGCTGTGGGCTTCTCAGCGTCTGTTTTGTTGGGGGTGGTGGAGAAATTACTAAGAAGTGTAAAAACGGGACCTCATCAACCCAAAGAAAGGCCGAACAAACGACCCCAAGTGATCCCTTATATGCATAAAATATCTCACATTATGGAAAAGATAGCGGGGAGGTACGCCGTGCCGGTCGTCTTTTCGGCGCCTAGTAAGTTGTCGGAACTTTACCCCGCGGAAGGTAACAAGTGTTCTGTAAAACACAGAAATAAGTATGTTGATTGTGCAGTAAGAATGGTGTACCGAATTCCTTTGAGGCTGCGGTCGGGTATACATCGGCCAAACTGGCCGATGCGTCAACAATTGTGCGCGCGATCATGCCCTGTCACTGAGCTCAACAACGGAAAGACATCTGCCTACACTGCGCCACTCTCATGTGTAAGTCGAATTTAGAAGATATTATAGGATTATGGGGAAATGGGGTGGACAAAACTGCGAGAGAACTGCTGGAAGCGTACTTGATAGAACAGGAGGGAGATAACTGCGTCAGCCAGACTTTGGTGTATTTACATTAAAAAAAAAAAAAAGAAATATCTTATCTTCAGCGTTGATGCGATAACGGTGTGGTTGTATCCTTGGGTGTGTTCTTTCAATAAACGTTCAGTTGAACAGTTGAAGTTCAGCGTCCGTCTTGTGCATTTCTCCCTTTGTCTTTGCGTTTTTTGCGCGCTGCTACCAGTTGTGAGCAGGACCAAGCAAGACCAAGGGCGCGGCACCGACCAATCGCAGCAGACGACGTTGTCCCACTCTCTTGGTTTCGCTTGGTCCCGCGCCGTGTAGCATAGGTCCCCGGATGTCATGCGACTTACACAGCAATTCAGATTCCCCGCTTAGTTTCGCGGGAAAATTGTCACGTGACTTAGACACCAATTCAGTTTCGCCGCTAACTTTAGTGGGAACATTGACGTCACGTGAGCTGATGTCAGTGGTACCCTATTGGATGTGCAGAAACGGTTCCCTAAAACTCTCCGTTTTCCCACTCTCGCAAAGCACGGTTCAACCAGTTTCGTACAGCGGGACATGCGGAGTCCTAAAAAAACTTCCTGGCAATCTTTTTTTTTTTTTTTAATACCTGCTCTTATCAAGGTATACCGAAGCTCTCTAACAGTTAGTTTTACGGATAAAAACAGAAGTTAGTACTCTTCTGTGCTTATTAGAGCGCAGCTCTTAGGGGCCCGTTTCCGGCTTGAGCGGCGTCGGCGTCGCCGTCGCCGTCGCCGTCGGCGTAACCGCGCGGTGCATCATGGGAAATATCCCATAATGCACCGCGCGAGCCCCCCACCGGGGTCACGTGACTTCGTGGGGAGGCACGTGACCCCCCCGAGGTCACGTGAGCCCCCGAAGTCACGTGACTCCCCTGAGGTCACGTGACCCCCTCCTCGAGGTCACGTGACTCCCCTGAGGTCACGTGACACCCTCCTCGAGGTCACGTGACCCCCCGAGGTCACGTGACCCCCGCCGATGTCGCGTGACCCCCCCGATGACGTCATCGACACTGATGACGTCACCGGCATCCACATCGTCATCGTCATCATCACTGATGTCATCATCAGTGATGACGATGACGATGCGGATGCCGGTGACGTCATCAGTGATGATGACGATGACGATGTGGATGCCGGTGACGTCATCAGTGATGATGACATCAATGATGATGACGTCATCAGTGACGATGACGATGTGGATGCCGGTGACGTCATCAGTGATGATGACGATGACGATGCGGATGCCGGTGACGACATCAGTGACGTCACTGATGACGTCATCAGTGATGATGACGATGACAATGCGGATGTCGGTGACATCATCAGTGATGATGACGATGACGATGCGGATGCCGGTGACGTCATCAGTGATGATGACGATGACGATGTGGATGCCGGTGACGTCATCAGTGATGATGACGATGACGATGTGGATGCCGGTGACGTTACCGACATCCGCATCGTCATCATCACTAATGACGTCATCAGTGACGTCACTGATGTCGTCACCGGCATCCGCATCGTCATCGTCATCATCACTGATGACGTCACCGACATTCACATCGTCATCGTCATCATCACTGGTGAAGTCATCAGTGACGTCACTAATGACGTCATCAGTGACGTCAGTGATGACATCATCGGCATTGGGGGTCACGTGACCCCCCAAGGTCACGTGACCCCCCCTGGTTAGTCTAACCCCCCCCCCCCCCCAGCGCCCTTCCCTCCTCCTCAAGAGCTGCGCTCCAATTCGGCGTTACAGGGAGTTGTAAGCGGCTTTCACTTTTTTTCTGAAAAAAGTAAATATAAAAGTGAAAACTTACCAGGAGTGGCTCGGCATGCGGAGCGAAGAGTGCCAAAGGCGGTACCTTCATGTGGGCCAGCTTGTTGAACGGTGTCAAACCAGCAAAAGCCTTCACCTGAATAAAATTTCGGGATTATAAATGTTCCCTCCTGGGCCTCACGCGGGATCACACGGGTTCCACTTTATATTCGGGTTGTTCAATTCACTGATTCATAATACAAATATGTTGTTGTCTTTTATTTTATTCTTCTGACATAGAACTGCGTTTTTTTTTTCCCGCGCTTGAAAGAAAGGGGGAAGGGGTGGCCTTTGAAAAATGGGGAGGCCGGTGTGACGAAAAGTTGGTCACGGAAGTGACGTCACACAGATCGCCGCCCACTGCCTACAACCGTGCAGTGCGCACGCGCCTCATTACTTATTGCAGGATTGCTCGTTTGCTCGCTTCAACGCGACGATCTCCTTTCTGATTGCAACGGCGACAGACGCCGCTCCGGCAGCCGTGATTCCACAATCATCGCTCTGAATAGCGGCTGAGCTCGCGTGCTCTGCGGCACGGGCAGTTCACGCGACTCTCGCGCGCGACTCGCGCGTATGCATCTCGGAGATGGCGGCGCGGGGGGGGGGGGGGGGGGGGGGGGGGCTGCACATTTGCTTCTGCCGGACTTCGAGCCGCGGGTACTCCCTTCCTGCGCGCCCGACATCGTAACGCGGCAGGAGACCGTGGACGTTTCTACAGCTGTGGCCGCAGTTCTATACCAACATTTATGCGTCATAGTAAACCTATGCACCGACAATTCTTTTTTACGCGATCAGTTTGTTTTAGCAACGTTAAATTGTTTACCAAACCAACTGCCATATCGCTTGAAATTATTTCTCACCGTGGAAACAGAAAAACAAATTCGATACAATTCGTTTTGAAGTTTCGATTAGCCCACACTAAAAGGAAAAGCTGGCGCTAACATTTTTGTAGTTCATCGTCTTCTTCTCACTTGTGTTTATTTGTGTTTATTTAAAATATAGCGTAAGTACGCACCCGACTCTTATAAAGTGCCTCCATACACGCGCGCCCTCTGTATCGGTTATACCAGAACCTCGGCCAATTTACCGCCTCGATGATTTCTATGTGCAAACCGCACGCCTTCTGGCGTCTCTACGTGCGAACGCGTAGTTACTGCTTCGACTCTGTTTGATGAGATAAATCGTGTACACTTCGTCTGCGTGATACGGCGAATACTGGCAGCGCCTGATACGGAGGATGTCTGGACCCTGAGGAAAACCGACATCGATGCACCTAGGACTTGCAATACCAATTGCGCCACACCACTGAAAACCTTATAAAAGCAATGTAATGTTCTAGTTGCCCCGCTTAAAAAGAATTCTAAAGCGGTAATTTTATAGAGTCAACCAACCTCAGGAGCCGCGTATGCACGAGATGTGTAGTTCGGTCATTCCGTGACCGCTAAAAAAACCTTAAAAAGACGGCAACCGGTGTCAGGGATCGAACCCCGGCCGCGGTCATCGGCTTGGAAGCCGAGTGCGCTGCAGACAGAGCTACGGACCCAGCAGGCAGGAACGGGAGGAGCAGAGGCAGGTGGTGTGCAAAAGCGCGAGGAGGGGAGAGAGATGGAAGGGACAAGAGAGAAAGGAGCTGAAACGAGAGGTGCAGCACCGCCTGGAATACAAAGCTCGGAGAGATTACGTCCAACTATGTCAGAGCTGGGGGCCGAAGGCTCAAATTGCCTGAGACGTCGACCTCAACGCAAAGCATTACCCTTTTCCCCCGGATAGTCACGCCGGGGCACCGTCGGATTGCCGATTGCGCGTACGTCGGCGTTCGACACCCAATAAAAAAATCTGCGCGCATTTCTTTTTGTTTTTTCTTGATTTGATATTTTAACAGTCTTCTTGGTCTTGTTTCATCATTGTGTCAATCGTGCATGCTTATTTGCCTCAAACATCTCGAGCGGCACACCGATGCCGTTGTAACGTTGCGTCCCTCGGTTCCGAGATAGTTACACCGGAGGCCCGAAAGTAACAGTGTTCCGATTTCCGAACGAGAATGATCTTCGTGATATGTTGATACGAGCGATCCCGCGGGACAACCTCGTCATCTCGAGCAACACCAGGATGAAAACTTTTCCTTTTTTTTTTTCAAGTCATATTTTGCATTTGTAGAACGCAAAAGAAGGAGAAATTTAGGTACACATGAGTGAAAGTACAAGTGCGAGCGGTTACAAGCGTGTCGTGCTTGGTCTTTACGGAAACCAGCACACGTATACGCCATCCGTTGTGCGTGTACGACTCTTCTCCTCTGGCGCGCAGTTATTGCGTTTTAGTAGTTTTCCAAAGTTGTTAAGTTCGTTAAACGACTCAAGAACACCCCTTTCGCTCGTTTGTTCAATCTCGTAGCCTCTTCACTCAGGCATCCAGTTGCTCATACGAGGGCGCTTTTATTCTTCTGTGTATGCGAGCTTCACTACGCGGACGCTGAAGTGTTTTCGGGAGAATTCCCATGTCATCAACGCTACGCGGGAGCGTGTTGGCAGCGCCACTGACTTGCCTGCGCCTCTCTCCTGTAGCAGTTCCGTCGAAGTTCCCAGGGTGTCCAGTTTACTTGGCAACTGTGCATACCGCGAGAAAAGAGCCGAACTCAAAAAGGAAGCGAATGGGCGTCGCTGCTGTGCAAGACGCTGTAGCAGAACTGTTCCTCGGTTGTGCATTGATGGTTATGTTTATGTCGTTGTCTGCGATATTATCTGCTTGCTGAAGCCTCGTGGAATGCATTCTATGGACATCTGAGACTTATTTTAAACGTGATATGTACTCGACTTTTTTTATTACTTCAGCTTTCCATGTGAATGCTTGAAGCTGTGGGACTTTCTCTTGTACATTATGCTTAAGCGTACATATATTAGTTTTCTATTGTCAGCATTTTTGTTCAGTTTCACTTTCAAGACAAACGCCAAAACGTATGTGGCACTGAAGATGACGCAATCCAGTATTCTAGTGCAAAAATGGTCAGTTTTTGTCAGCTCTATAAGAATCTGACCAACAGACTGGACGGAAAGTTTCTTCAATTTATGTTTGTTGTGCTTGCCCATACACATAAACAGTGTTGTGAAACATTAACTATATTTAAGACTGCAAATTAAAAAAAATTGCCTAACTAGCGCAAGTAACATCACAAGTGTTAAGCGCAGTTGAAGCCTCGATAGTGTTCTATTAGCTGTTGCGCGCTTGTGATGTAGCTGACACATTCCTGCGAACTTTGTGTCGTGGTGCAAATTAGCCGTTTTAGTCACATACTTTTCTCATAAATAACTCTAAAAAAGCTGAAAAATAAAATGTTTTAAAAGCAAATTAGTTGCTTTCATTGGCAACACATTTGAACTTCCTTAAGTTATGTTTTATTATATTTTCTCCTACTAGAAAGTTCGAGTCCCGAGTAACCATCTCAGTACTGTTGATAGTAGACACTATAGGTACACAAATATATAAATAGCACGCAGGCAAGCTGGTGGGAGTTTATCATTTATCAGTTCTCTGGCGTAGTGAATCGTTATATAAGGAAGGTGGTTTAATGAAATTATTTAGCTGAGTTAACGACGTGTATGTCCTTGTTTATTTTTTCTACCACTGTAAAAATATTGTCCACCTTCTGTTCCAGTTTCAGATTAAAGTCATAATAATTTATGTCCACCATTTGTAGCCTTAATTCCACCAGATTACGGCTTAGACGAACTACTCATATATGCATCTCAAGAAGCCATGATGTCTGCAGTTTCGTCTTGCATGTTTTCTAAATAATTACGAATAATAACAATAATCCTGCATAGTAATATTAATGTGTGCCCTTGAGCATTTTTTTCTGTTTAAATAAGTGTGTCTATATGCGACATTTTTCGAATAAAACAAGTTTTGACTATCAAACTTCGTTCGTATGATGTCTCGTCCACGCTCAAAGCCTTTTTTTTTGTTTTGTTTTTTCCGTATAACGAACACCTGATTGCCTTATACGGATTAAATTAGGTTTCCCATCCCAATTAAAGTTCACATATTAAATTTTAGCGCCCTATGCGCGTTTCTGTCCACTGAAACTCGATCGTACGACGGCAAATCCACGCGCGATTTGCTCGATGCTATGCTGTACAGCGGCGTCCATAGGCTAACGCTCGTGACGTCACCTGAGGAGTACCACGGCCTTGTCTTTTAGGCGGTGTTGGGTGGTGTAGAAGTAGCGCGCGGAACCAAATGGCGCGGAAAGGGCAGGAAGGTGCACTTCCCGTCTCTTGGCGAACCAGAAAATTCAGCGCAAAGCCTTTGTAGCCGGGTGGTGCTGAAGGGAAGCGCGCGCAGCGTCACAAAGAAACAACGGTGTGACGTAGCATGCTTCGATACAAAACCCCGCCCTATAGGAACCAACTGAACTAAGAGCACCATCCACCTTATAAAGTTACCGCCATTTTCTACCTTCAATATCTCAAACGTAAACCGACAAAGCAAAACAAATGATCTGTTAGGTGTTTATACTGCGGGATTTTTGCCTGCCAGAGGATGGCGAATTTAATCATTATCTACAGGGTGATTCAAGGAGACGCTAGGCTCTTTAAATCGACCGCAAAATTCGGTTTCTTAACCTATCGCGCTACGACTTTGTGCAGCGTTGCCCACAGATGGTGCATATTTTTGAGGAAAAAGTAAAGCAAGAAAAAGGCTTAGCTCCTATGGAAACGCAGCGACGCCACCGGTCTGCAAACAACATGACGCCGTTTCGCACGGGAGACAAAAGATGGCGCAAGCGGTCGCGACGCCAACTGCCGCCAACGAACGAGCATACGACGCCGAGAGCCGGCGTATTTAGCAGACAAGAAACTACAGTTCCTTGTTGTTACCGCGTCTGTTTTTGTTTCTGCGACTGTCGCCGCCTGTGGAACGCGCGCCGCTTTTGAGTCGAAAAGATTGTCTGCTAAAGACGCTGGCTCTCGGCGCCGTATGCTCGTTCGTTGGCGGCGTTCGTTGCGCCATCTCTTGTCTCCCGTGCGAAACGGCGCCGTGTTGTTTGAAGACCGGTGGCGTCGCTGCGTTTCCATAAAAGCTAAGCCTTTTTCTTTCTTTACTTTTTCCTCGGGTAAGTTCGCTCTTTGCAAATTTTACAAAAAAAAATGCACCATCTGAGAGCAACGCCACACAAAGTCGTTGCGCGATAGGGCATTTTGCGGTCGATTTAAAGAGCCTGGCGTCTCCTTGAATCACCCTGTACTTTAGATCTGAAATTTAGCCAGTGGAGTACGGCCGCTAGCCCGGGGTCTATAACGTGCACCACGCAGTAGACCGAAACGCGACCGCACGCCTCGCTACGATGCTCGTCCAGACCGAAACGGGCAGGGGTGTCACCCGGGCCCGTGCTCAAAAGCATGCTTCAAGGGCTCCCTCCGGTAATGCGGTATACGCGGAATACGGTAACGGTTTGCTAAAAGTCCCACGCAAAACAGACCTTGTCGTTGTACTCCGGCTTTTCGGACATCATGGTGAAGAAAACGAGGGTTCCCTGCGAGTAGCCGACGTAGATGAGGTTGTTGCGTTTCGTCGCATTCAAGACGTAGTCGATCTGGGCAGGAACGTCGTACACGGCGTGCTCGTGAAAACTGCGCAGTTCAAGAGAAAGTTTGGTGAACAGACAGCTGCGCGGATGTCGAGTCTTTTAAATACAGCACACAGTAACGATTATTCCAATGCTTCCCAAACACTACAACTTTACGATGCATCAAACATTTAAACATCACGTCGTAACCTCCTCCCCCATCCCCCTCCTCCCCTGCTCTTCGCATGCCACAGGCGTTCAATGCATAAACAGTAATACTCGAAAATTGACTCGGGACTTTTATTTGAGAGTCAATATAGTCAGAGGGAATCAGCTAAACAAAGAACAATCGCCACATAAAAAAAAAAAAAAAGATTCCCAGCAGGAATTATTATTCCCAATTACTAAAGTGAGCTTGTTTGTTAGAGCGTAGTTTATCGAAACGAGGGCGGAGTTTGAACACCGCGACAATCACTTCTGGCTCGATGTTGAGCTGCAAGCTGTAAGCTTGTTTTCATCGACACCACCGCAGAGAAGCCACGTTTACATTTTTTTCCAAGTTCCCGAGACGCTTCGCGACCGCCTGCTGAATCTGCATGACGGACAGTTTGGGAAACACTGGGCTACACCAACGACCGACAGAGCTGTATTGCCGCCTCCTCTAGACTCCGTTCTAGCGCTCATTACCCGGGCAAAAAAAAATGCAGTCACGTGGCTGTGTGTGCATGCATGTACGGCGTCTGGTATTCCCGAAGAAAGCTATTGCGCATGCTCAAAACGTTCCGAAGCTCACTAGACAAAGATAGCAGCACGCAGAAGGACGGAACTTGGAGTGGTATACACTGGAGAAACCAGGCAGATGGTCAAAAGAGGGCGCCGCCGTAAAAGGGAGAGGAAGAGCGGACGGCAAAACGAGACTTAGACGAGTCACGAGAACCACCGATACTAGCACCATGCCATGGTAGCGGCTACTCTCTGCATCACATTTAGAAACAAAAGTGCTACGGAGAATGGGCGCTCACGTGGAATGGCGTCAATATTCGTCAACACTCGTTAGAGGCAGCAAAAATAATCCATTGTTCTCGCGGCAACACGCTATAGGCCTCACCCGAAGAAAGAAAGCTATTTACTTGTTTCGCTTGCAAATGGGATAATCAAATATTTGGGTTACATCTAGCATATGCGACACTGGTGGTGGCTGCACCGCACTGCAAGCCCTTTTTCTCTCAGTGACTCTCCGTACTCCGACAACGCCGTTTCATAATCCAACAAACAATACAAAAATACGAGGATATGTGTGCATGTTCCTCGAGCGCACTTTCGTAACCATCGGGGGGTTGTTTATAGCTGCAAAGTGACTGACTCGTGTAGGGACGTGAAGTCGCACCCCAACACGAACCGAAAGGCATTAGGTTTAAAGGCTCCAAACCTTGACCAACCTCTTCTATTCAACCCAGTTAAATTTGGCCCTGTGCATGCCTTCACTCAGGATCATACTTTCTGTAAGTACGTAGTTCTTATAGAAGCACTCAGAAGCATACTTTCTATAAGCGCGTGGTACTGAAACTATATGGTGCCTGGAGTGCTTATGATATACTCCGATTTCGAAAACAGTTTCTAGAAACAACTAGGTGGTGCAAGCCGACGCCTGGTTCAAAGGGTTCAGGTGTATTCGTCCATCTATCAACGCAAACTCAAACAATAAAGAAAAAACTCACTCCCCCCGAGGGATGAGCAACAAAGCCCGTGCCACATAACTGGAGTAATCACGGCCGGTGCCTGGCACTTCTATCGGGAATGTGCGGTCAAGTAAACTCGCCTAACTGTGCTACTTTACTCAAGTTCTAGATGTCGTGTGTTGTATTTAACTGAGGAAACATGTCTCCCGCATGTTGTTCCAGAGGGACCAAAAAATAGAAAGAAAACTAAAATTTAGCAGTCCTGTGTTAATGCACAGTAGAGTAACAACGATAGCTGCAACACGTCAAGACGAAGTCGTTGGGCGTCGGCATCGCGTTCACGCACCATTGGGTGCGTTTTCAAAAGCCTTCGAAACAAAATAGACACCTGAACATTTTGTTCCGAACTCTTTTGTGTCCTTTTTTCTTCCGGAGCGCAGAAAAGCGCGTCTCAATACACGAGCTCTTGATATCAACAGTGTCATAAAGGCATTTTGTTATCGGCTTTTTCTTTGTATCTTTCCAGAGAGTACGTGCAATGGGCGTCACGTACTGCAAGAACCCTATATATAAGACAGGTTGTTAACGCTGTGGCACCTCCGCTTCGCAAGCAGCGGGCCAAGGTTTGATTCCCCGAGGGTGGCGGCTGATCTTTTTTGAGGATTCGGCAACATTGACAGCGGATACCCTATACTAGTGCGCCAATCATAACATCAATAACTACACAACAACATCAACAACGGACATCATTTTCAGTGGTGGGAAGTGGTGGGAATATCCCATAACATATATATCCCTGTAAAAGACTCACGTGAAGTCCCAGAATCGTCTTGACTTCGGGTCGAACTTCGTGTGCCTCTTGCCGTAAGCATTGCCCCTGGAGTTTCCAAGCCACACGTCGTACTTATTGTCAGCTAACACGAATCCTGAAAGTTTACACTAGAGTTTTACAAATGTCCTTACATATGATCATTTTTCCGAACAGCCGTAGGTTAGGGCACATTTTGAATATGGCAAGAGAGATGGCTGCAACTGGAACTACTGGGAATTGAAGACAATTGATTGCATTTTACGGCATTTACCTCGTAAATGGGAGCGCAAGGGTCATTCCTCAATTCATTTTACTTCCTATCAGATAGTCATCTGAACTGGGTTTTAAGTAATCTCAAAAACCACTAACGCATCATCTATAAAGAGTATCAGCGACATCTTCGAAATGGATGGCAACAGAAAGCTGCATCGGCCGGTTTCCTCGGCAGCTTTCTCGAGCAAATCAGATATTCACAGCGCCTGGTGGTATGAAGACGAAGCCGTGAAAGTAGGTTTAAAAACACGTGAATAAAATTGCCAGTGCACTCCACCTTCGAGGAGATTGATTGATTAAAAATATGTATTTATTTAATACAAATTACACGCACGTTTATTCAACCAAACACGATGAAAGGCGGTAGCTTTAGGCCTGTTCACACTTAAGGCCCGTTCACACATGCAGCGGAGCGCTACAAGCATAGCGCTAACCTCGCGCTAAGCGCGTGCTGACGGCAGCGTTTACCAGCTTTGTATAGACCCGTTGCTCTCGGGCAGGGGGCGCGAGTGCGTCCGCAAGATGCGACCATGTTATGCTGGCAGCACTATCCAGGCGGCGCTGTAATGTTCGATTTTGCACGTGCTACGTTCGGATTAAAGCACCAGGCAGCATCTGTAGGCGCGCGATAACAAAACGTCTAAAAAAATAAAATAGAGAAGAATTATGCAGCTCGAGGCCTCAGCATCCCATTCAGCTTTATTATTTTATTGCGTTCTTTCATAGCTTCCGTGAGCCCGTATGTTTCATTTTATGTGATAGCGAAGCTGATGCTACTTGCAAGAACATGTTCCCCTGAACGATGCTCGCACTGATCGAGCGCACGTGCTTGGAATGGTCACTGCAAGCTCGGAGCTCGCTCTTGTAGAATCTGCTGCGCTGGCACTTAGAATGGAACGGAGTATATAAAACTGTAGTGAGGAAGCGTGATGACGCACGCTCAAAACGCGAGCCAAATATTCTATTTTGATCGCCTGGAGCGCTGCTCAAAACTTGAGAGCTACGGGCCTATCGCACCGTCGAAACTGTTGCTCATGGCTTACGATAAGTAGCTGATGGCACGTGAGGAGCGCTACATCAGCGCTTCGCTGCATGTGAGAACCGGCCATTACAGCGCTGACTTTGCGATAAGCGCGTGCTGACGGGAGCCTTCACCAGATTTGTATCGCACCGTCAAAACTGTTGTTCACGGCAGACGATAAGTATCTGACGACACGTAAACAGCACACTATCAGCGCTCCGCTGCATGTGGGAACCGGCCTTTAAAAGGATGCTGAACCAAACATTTCAGTTTCTATAAAACGTGGCGCACGATCTTTCCACAAGCCAGCAGCCGCCGCGGTGTGCGTAAGCACACGCTACGAAATGGGCCTCATAGTCCCCCGTTTACGCGTAAGATGACAGTGGAAGGTGTGGGCTCCAGGGTAAGGGAGAATAATGACAATCTTTTGATCTCTGCAGTGGGGTCTGGGTAAAATGATAAGCGATCAATTGTATAACAAACACGTAGCTTTTACTTGTAGAGATGAAAAGCCTGTCTGAATTCTCCTTTGGCCCGAAGCCCATACGAAGGGTCAACGTCAATTTCGTGGCGTGCGCTCGCATACACCGGCGGCTGCTGGCTCGTGGAAGGATTGTGCGCCACTTATTATGGACACTAAATTGTTTGGTTCAGTATCAATTAGAAACGAAAAAGGTATGGTGATAAAATGGTTGTAATATGCCGTCCACTCACCGAAGACGACGTTAAGAACGGCGTCAAAGACGACCTCTAGGATGACCCCAAGAACGACGTCTAGGATGACCTCAAGAACGACGTCTAGGGAGATGTCAAGGATGACCTCAAGAACGACGTCAGGACGACCTCTAGGACGACCTCAAGGACCTATAGGACGACCTCAAGGTACGACGTCAAAGACGACGTCTAGGACGGCCTTTAGGACAGCTTGGAGGACAACGTCAAAAACGTCAGATTCAGCTATAAGCGCTTACGAGCTTACGCGACCCGCGCTTAAATAACCTTGACTACGCGACCTTGAGGACATGCAGCAAGGCATGTAGTTGGGCTAGTTGATGGTACATACTGTTTGGTGGGAACAGCGCAAAAAAGGCGTGGGCGTGGGTGATGCCGTATGTTATTGGTTTGATTTGTTTGTTCCCTCCCCTTCCTCCTTTCTGTGTTTATTTCTCTTCGTGCAGAGCAATAAACTTTCAGTTGTAAGTCAGCGCCCTCTCTGTATGTTTCTTCGACCTCGTCCTACGTCTTTTTTGCGCTGTTCCCACCAAACAGCTTGAGGACATGACCTTGAGCGTGGTTGGGCCTATGAAGCTACCACTTTAAAAGGTTCGCCTGCTTATGGTTTCGTTGCCCTGAGGCAGGATCATAAACATGATGGCGTCCTACACAGGGAGGTAGTGTCGTCGTAGCTTTGTCCGCTCAAAGAGTGCATCTGAGTGTGTGGCTTGACAAGAACTTCGATCGCTAGAAAAACAAACGCCGTCAGCCGTGCGTGTCTTACCCAACGACAGTCGTGGAAGGTTGAAGACAAACGTAGCAGAGTCGGCCGCAAGTCCAGTCATAGCGAAAACAGGTTCTCTGTGGCACGGTTCCGGACACGGCTCCCTGCCTCGAGGAATCCTGTGCATTTCGATGATGTAGCCGTCTTGGGTGACCACATCGTGCCTCTCGAAAGGGTAGCCTTCGCTCTCGACGAGGGAGGCCTGCAAGCGTCCCTCGCTGCGTGAGACTTTTTGCCAGAATTACAAAGCCACGGTCACACTCCTAATACCTCATACAAGAAAGTCTGCAGAGAGTGCGTGACGTATTTCTTTCTTGTATAAGGTCACATTTCCCATACAAAACCTGCCTTTAGAAACATATACAGCTGAGAGAACAGTCGCCAGTTGAGACGGACTAAGTTCGGCCTATATAAACATACACACAACCCAAAAATGTGGCGTCATAAAGTACGGGCGGTATCATTTCGGTTTTTCGCGTACTTTTTTTCTAACATTTATGAAAGTTGGAAAACCATTTCCTGCGATTTTAGATACAGCTTCAGAAACTGGCAAAAATAACTTTACTCATTAAAATGGCTCAAGTATCGTTACTCTGAAGGCTTAGCTTATTTGTCGGCTCTACATCTATAGTCGGTTACAAGTCAAGAAGGTAAGAGAAGCTCCTCTCACATGCGTGATGCGTCCGTTTCAAATCCCTCCGTAGTCGAAAGAAGAGTTCGCTGGAAACGCCCCTTCTTCCGGTTCAATGGATATATATTGCCTATAGGGTGATGCTAACTTGTCTCCGACACCCACTTTACAAGAAGGCGACCTTTCTATTCATCGGAGAGGGAACCGAGCCCCTCAAAATAGCCTTTGTATCCATCGGATGAGGAACCTAACCCCCGAAAGTCGTATTTGTTTTCGTTAGAGGGAGAAAACACTCTCTCGTGGCTTCCAGAACGCTAAGTCAAAGTCGAAAGATAAGGCAAATATTTACAGGAAGGCAAAACCCTCCCCCGCGTTGGCTACGGCGTCACGGAAACGATGGGACGCTATTGGATGCGGAGGTGGTGGAGGAATATATGAATCCCTTTGAGGGGCATTTGCCGCTACCTTCTCGACCTGTAACTTACTATTCGCGACTCCAGCGACCTATAGGGAGCGCCAACAGCAAACAAACATGGCGGCTGAGTCTAGGTCGCGTCGGCTCGGCCGGGCTGCCTGAACGGGTGGCGCATTCAATTTAACAGATTTTCTTTTGTTTAATGCCAAATTTTATAGGTATCTGAACTGAGATGGTTAAGTGTAGCCGGCGCACATAAACTTGCAAAGCATAGTTTTGTTTTCCTGATGTTTTTTGCTCTTTTCATGTCAAACTTTCGTTTCGGAGATTTCGTTCAAAACCGAAACTATGGGCTCCGGAGAGACGGTAATAGACTTTAATCAGTTTTGATCATCTAAGGAAAGCGGCGATGACTACAGAACTGTTCCACCGAGAGCAATTTTCAGCTAACTCGCATGCCTCGACCATGCGACTTATCTGTTCGCGAAATCGAGCTTTTGTGCGGTCAACAACGCAGGCTGCAGGAAAATTACGAAAATTGAGCGAGCGCTTCTTGAGCCGAGGAGCGTTTTAACCCGCTGGCGCCCCACTACGCAGCTGATACTCTTATTTCAATTCTGGTTTTAGTAGCAATCGAGAAGTCATTTTGACGAGCGGGTTATGTATTATATTACGAACTGTCCCACTAAAGCGATATTAGTATATTCTTCGGGTTGAAATATGAGCTTAGTTGACTAGCTATTAGATGAACTGCTGAATAATATTTGACAGACAGAGAGATACTACTTAAACTTAGCCGAATGGTCCTAGCCGGTAGCACGGAGACGAATGCGGACGAACTGAAGAGAGTCTTCATCGGAGATTCACGCAGAACCTCTCTGCATTGAACTTGACCTCGAATCCTGAACGGAGAAAATTAGCATTTTCCGTGGCCGGTAAACATGAGCAATGTAGACGTATATTGCTGATGGCTTCGACGGGGGTATAATATAAGTATTGGAGGAGCGATAGATCAAAATGCCGTGACAGCTTCTAACTTTGCGAGACGCGTCCTCCACCTTTTGAAAGCAGATAATTTCCCTCATTAAAGACCGACGACCAGTTCGCGCTTTCCACTTTTCGCCCACTTCCTCCTCTCCCTCCTACCCTTTCCACCCACGCCCGCCCCTCTTGGTCCCTTCTTTCCATCTTCGCTTCCCTCGCCCGAAGCCGTGGAGAGGAGGGTCTTCTGCCTTGCAGAATCTCGAGTCTGGTCGTCGGCCTTTAATCATATGCAGGGAGCAGGTTTTCCTGAATCAAGTAATTGCGAAATCAGCCCAACTCCTTCAGTGTGGTTCAGAGGCTTTTTCGGCGAAAAGCAGCCAAGATGAATAGCCAACGTACCGACCGGCGTGGGTGGCACAAACTTGAAGCTAATCAAACACAACCAAACTCAAGAAAAGCAGCTGTCGAACCTTCCCATTCACTTGGCTGCAACGTTGGTGTTCCCTCCAGTGAAACACCTCGTCTGTCGTCCTCAGTCCATTGTTCTACATCCTTATAAAGAAACCACTTATCAGTTACCAAGTAGTCGTTACTTTGAATGTGATTCGAGACAGACGAGAAATCGAAACAGTTTTCCGTGAATCCTCCCCATCCAGGAAATCGAAAGCACGCGACCCTGTGTTGTGGAGTAAACGGGCTTTCAAACACGTGATGGAAGGAAACAACCTACTGAGGCTTCACCACACTAATGAACACTCATGCAAACTTTCGGACCTTCGTCAAATTACATTGTCCTCCCCCGCGCCGACAACATGTGTCCGTGAAAGCCAGTGGCGTACCAACTTGTTTTTGAGTGGGGGGGAAAACCAGAACCCCCCCTCCCCCAGGACCGGGTTGGTGCCCTTTGTATCCCTGTGGCGCCGACGGGTAGTGTTTGCCGTGCCCAGTGGCGGCTTTTTCTGGGGGGGGAGGGGGGGGGGAGCAAAACACATGCCTTGCCCCCCCACTCTGAGAACTGGGGGGGCAAGCGCCCCCCTTGCCCCCCCCCCCCCCAGGTTGGTACGCCCATGGTGAAAGCCACCAGAGACACGGAGGGGCGCGGAGCGACCCGGACCGGCTGGTTCCCGGTTTTCCCGCTTGGTGGCGTCCGTTTTGCTGGAGTCGCGAATAGCAATGCGCACAACCGATTTGACCAGGCAGTTTCAGTACGGTGCGTCGAACGCGTCTCCCGCCTGGTGTGTTTTCCGCGTTCAAAAAAGTGGTCCCTCGTTTTTTGTCTCGCGACGTTATAAAGGTGTCATGCTGTCGCCGGTCGCGACCCTGGCGGTGGTGATTCTGGCAGACGCCCGTTCTGCTTAATGTCACTCTCCAGTGTGACAATCCACGAAAGTTTCGGCTATAGCCAGAAGTTGGGACGCCGCGACGACAACGACACTCGGGTTCGCTCGTGATTTTCACCGGCAGTTCTACGACCAACCGCCGGGATCGCAACATCCAACAGCACGACACACCTGCTTTTGTGACGTCATTCGTTGCCAGTTGGGGACCACATTCGACGCATGCGCGAGATAGAACGATAAACACACCGTTCGAAGACGCGCTTCAGGTACCGTAGTTTCAGTACATATACCGTGCCTGGATCTGGTCTCCGCACTGGTGTGTTTATAGCGTCCTGTTCCACTTATGCTTTGAAGGGGGTCCCGAAGTGCCAACAACTGACGTCACAGAAGCCGGAGTGCCATGCTGTCGGATGTCGCGATCCTGGCGGTTGGCCATAGAAGTTCCGGCAAAAAGCACGAGTGAACGCGAGTGTCGTTCTCGTCGCAGTGTCCCAACCGCTGACTATCGAAGCTTCCGTGCTTTGTTAAGCTGGATGAAGATCTGCACCAGAACAGGCCTCTACCACATTCACCACCACTGCTGGAACACCGCCAGGATCGCAGACGGCGGACAGCATAACACATCTATGGCGTCAGCTGGCGGAAATCAAGGGACCAATTTTTTGGATGCGGGAAACACGCAAGTCGGGGGACGCGTTCCAGACATGCATAGTTTCTCAGGCGGTTGTGATGGATTCGCTTTAAACAATCCCACACCACTTGGGGTGTGCAAATACGCTAACTTCTTTTTTCATCCTCCCTCTCTCTCTCTCTCTCTCTTTAAAAATAGAGTGCATCCGGCCAAAGTGTGCCGCATAAACTGCCTCGGCTAATGGATCTTTCATGCTGAGGGAAACTACGTTCATATACACACTTAACTTCGGCGAAGTTGAGAATACCTCGCGGTCATTGAACCTCCCGATTATTTATTTGTTTATTTAAAATACCCCCAAACCATCGGCATTACAGAGGGGAGTGGTGGTTAGTAGATTATTTATGGCAAAAAACACTAGCTCTAATGATTCTCTTTCTTTTTCACGCATTGCTTGGTGGTGCAATTTTTCCGTTTAGGATGTTGTTTTAGGTTCGGCATTTGACGCAACAAAGGATGCCTTCCCCGTGAGATCGACAGATATTTCAAAGCATTCGAAGAATCTCGACCCGTTTAACGAACCAACACCAAACACCGCACCCACTTTAAGACATCACATTAAACATAGGGCATCATCAATTCACCCTGAAAATGCAGATTTATCTAGGAGTAAATGTTACTGCGCGGCAGATTTAAAAAGCTTATTGCCTTCTTATTTTGTTTATGTATACAAATTGGTTTTAGTTTCACTAGTGGGACCGGATCCCAAATACACGACGAACAAACAAGCTAATGGTTTATATTCAGATGACGTTTGACTATATAAGTTCCGGGGCCGTACGTCGAGGAACAGCTCCGGCTGCCAAGCGACGCAACGTGGTACAACGTTTGTTAAAATCGGTGACCATCGAAAGTTCTGGCGGATCCCTTGCAACGCAGTGAAAAGTAGTCAGAAGCTCTGTGGGAGTGAGTCTTGACAATCGTAAAAACGGTTAGGTCGTGTTTACACTCGCGTTATGCGTTGAGTTATGCGTTATGTCAATACCACCTAGAAGGAAAGGGGTCTGCGTGGATGACGTCATCATTGGTGGAACGCGACCCGCCCCCAAGCAACAAATAGCCTGAAGCTCGACGAGAAACGCCGCAAAGCGGAAGACGCATCCGTCATGGCGTCGACGCGTGTGCTAGAGTCGCGCTCGTTCTGAGACCCGGCACGACGCGCCGGCGGCGACGCTGACGCACCTATAGGGAGCATTCACTGGACGCCATATTTGTGGGTGCTGTTTAGAGCGCATGCTCAGAACGAGCTCACATAAATTGGCTGCTAAGACCGTCAATCCTGATGGTGCGGAAAGCACATTGCAAAAGAACTGTGGAAGCTTGCCGTCAGCACGTGCTCAGCATTTGCGCACACAGCTATGGCCGCCAGTGAATACTCCCTACAGGAAGTATTCACTGGAGGCCATAGCTGTGTCCTCGACTGCTGAGCGCGTGTTGATGGCGAGCTTCCACGGTTCTTTAGTAACGTGCGTTTCGCACCCTCAGGATTGCCGGTCTTAGCAACCTATTAATGTGGGCTCGTTTTGAGCATGCGCTATAGACAGCACCCACGAATATGGCGTCCAGTGAACACTCCTTATAGGCGGCGCTGCGTGCATACACTATTAATGACATTTGAGGGGGCAAAGCTGCAGGCCTATGGACCGCAAGTTGGTCTGCTTCTTGCGAAGGGGTTGCGGCGACATCGGAACGCCGAGCTCCGATTGGTTCCGATTGGAAGGATAGTGGGTAGACCTCGAGGCAGCTATAGACCGTTTTATCGTGGGTAGCGCCATTTTGAGAGCGAGAGAGAAAAGGGGAAAGGGCTACCGGCGCTTTCCCCCTTTCTGATTGTGTAGGAAGAGTGAAAGTCCCGGATGAGAGGCTTGGCCGGTGTTGGTTGTCCGCTGTGCCCCAACTTCTTTCGCGCTTTCTTTTCTGTTTTGAACTCGCAAACTTAATTAGAGCCACGGGCTTCGATGGCCACAGTCCCCCGGTCATCGGGACACCATTGCTCGGTCATAGGGTGCACGAATAACGACAGAAAGCGTCGAATACCGCCCAGGGACCTCGTAGCCTGCATGGAATTCGGCAAGGCACGTGCGGCTGCAATGTTTTGAAGCTCCACCGCTTTCCGCGTGACTGGAAATAATGAACCATTCATAAATATTTGCTTGCAATAGGCCCATTTCAACGCAGCCGTTTTTAGTAATGAACAAGCGATACACGAAACGGGAACCTCAATTAACTTTCGTAAACACCCGGAGCTGCTACATATCGTTTTGCTGCGCTGCTTTTATCTTGCGTGTCCGTGTTCTCATATTTCATTGTGGATGAACGACGAAGACGTTCTAGACGTGCTTATATCAAACCGCAGAAAGCGTTAAAGCAGCCACGAATTATTTTACTATTTGATGCAATATTTTGAGTACTAACCTCCAATTTCTATCACTGACACGTTCGCTCCCGCTGTTCCCCCCGTTGCCGCACTGGCGGATGCCATGACTCGAACAAAGAAACGTAGACACTGGGCTCGAAAACGCAGATTGCAACACACGAGTCGTACCCTGGAACGACTATCCAGCGCTTCAAAGCGCCCAATCAACGGAAACAACCCAAACAACCCACTAGCGGCACTCCAAGGAGCGCTTTTGTCGGCTCTCTGATATCGCAGGGGATCGCTACTCAGGAAAACCGTTAGAACTACCTTTTCAACAATTTCTAGCCTCACCCGGCGGCGGAAATAAGCCATCAACTAAATGTTGTAAATGATGAAATCGAGTCAGTCACCACTGCAAATTATCAATATTAAGATAAATTCAGTTACGAAGTTTTACAAGCTGAAACAGCAATTATCACGAGAAAACTGGCACGCACCTTGCGAGCGTACCCCATGTTCATCGGCGGTACAGCGTTCGGTGCGAGCTCCATTCACAAGCTGTTCCGAGCACAGTCGAGAAGATGGTGTTGAGGAAATGTCTTCAGTTTACGAACGCAATCCACTGCCGCCAAGACCGGGGTCATGTGGAATGCGTGCAGCCGCTCTCGCCTTGCCGGATTCATTGCAAGCTACATGGGTCCTCGGACAGTATTCGACGCTTTCTGTCGTTATTCGTGCACCCTATGACCGAGCAATGGTGTCCCGATGACCGGGGAACTGTTGCCATCGAAGCCCGTTACTCTAATTAAGTTTGCGAGTTCAAAACAGAAAAGAAAGCGCGAACGAAGTTGGGGCACTGCGGGCACCCAACACCGGCCAAGCCTCTCATCCGGGACTTTCACTCTTCCTACACAATCAGAAAGGGGGAAAGCGCCGGTAGCCCTTTCCCCTTTTCTCTCTCGCCCTCTTTCAGTAAAACGGTCTATAGACGCTTTACACACGCGCCAGATTACAGCCGCCATTGCTGACCTTCTTTTGTCTTCTGAAGATACTGAGCCACTCAAACGGGTGCTGACGAGCCTCCAGAAAGGCCAATGCTGGGTAGAAGGACGCAATAGAATTTAAGAGGGCCATTACCTGGCCTGCTATGGTAATGATGAAGTGAAGAAAATTAAATTGGAGGAATCAAAAACTGAAGGTCAGTTATGGCGGCGCCCATGCACAGCTGCTGCAAAGCGTCTATAGCATTGAGTTCTACAAACTAGCCATCCAATCAGAGCCAATCGGAGCTCGGCGTTCTGACGTCACTGCAACCCCTGCGCCAGAAGCAGACGGACGTGTGCTCCGCATTGGTGATGCATGCCGCAATGTCGAGACCTCGATATGCGTGCAACGCTTCGGTGGGGCAGCTCATCGATATGCGCGTTGTTGCCTTTCTTAGGTGATCAAGGCCCTTGCACTGGCAAGGCCGTTGCTTCCCTCTTCGGAATGCAACAGACGTTGCACCGATCGACGGCGGCCGCTCCGGTAGTGTGCGTCATCGCTGTATACGGTGTTGGGCACCGGAACGGGAAGCAGAAAAAACACCTTGCATATCCGGCGATTTCTTCGTGGTCCCCGATTTGCTTGAAATTTCGCTAAACTGGCCAAACAACATCGCCAAAATAGTATCCCAAATATTAGGTCAGAATAATTTTTTTTCACGAAGTTATTGAATTTACAATTTTGGTACTCACCGTGTTTTTCAAACTGAAAGTCTCTACTGGCAACAACGATATAGTGACGTCAGTGGAAGTGCAGGGTTTACTCTTTGGACTGTAGAATTTGTTCCCAACTGGTTCGAAGCAGTTTCATGGTGTCAAATGAATGCTTTGGAAGCTCGCTCCAGTCCCCGTGCTTCAGCACGGAACGAATGATTGGCATATTCTATTTTTTAGACTGCTCGCCCGATTGGCAAGCTTCCCCTCCACTGACGTCACGGCACTGAAAAGTGCGGGTATATTTGAATGTTGGTTTTTGCACCATTTTCATTTGCCGATTTCGCAATAACTATTATGAATTTCGCGATATGAAATAGCATACCGGAAAGGGTAAAGGCCGGGGAGTCAGAAAATATAGTTAGTTGAGGTAGCTCAAACAATCGCCGCAGTAACAACACGCGATTGTGTAGGATGAGGTGGCAAGCTTATTCTGCAACGCGCATATGTCACTGTCATTGTTTTTTGTTTTTTTTTTAGGGCCTTCACAAACATGGAAAGGATCCTTAACGCACGTTTCATTCCGAAGAGTGAGGTTTAAACTTCAAGCGCATCCTTTATGAGTCGAAGAAACAACAGCAGTCATTCATTTCGATACCTCAAAACCAGACTTGGGGGGAAAAATGCATATTTCGCGGTGTGTTTAATTAAACCAGGCTAGCATCTAAAAAAAATTATATACGGCCAATATAACTTCTAAAATTATTTATAGAAGACTTACTTCATGTTTAAAGTACTAAGGATTCCCAGTTCGCTAGGAAGGCCGCGGTAACATTTGAGTGATCAAATACGTCAGTATGCCCGAGAATTGGCAGCCCAGTAAAGGTAAAAGGGCAATCTGCATACTCTTACTTCTACTTGTACAACAAAGTTGTTCGTAAGATTGAAATCTAAAGACATTGATTATATTTCACCCGCTACTACTAGACAGCGGCGACTAAAGCATATGCGCGTGACAGGCTCTTAGACTCACTTCTGTGGGAAGAAAAATCAGGCGATCACCAACCATCGTCTTCACTTTGTTTGAAGGAAACCCATCAAAGCCAAGAAAGAACCTAAGACCACAGGGTTCAGGAGCTCAGTTCTGCGCTTCTACTGACGTGTGTTCGCGTGTGATACGCGCCAGAGACCAAACAATCGGCCGGTTATAGCGAATTCGCGAAGATTGTGCCCCCCGCTGCTGAACAAACGCCCCTGGTGACATACCACATCGTACCTCAAAGTGTATACGCTCAGTACGCGCTGCATTACCCTTCCCACAGCCAGCAATCGTACGACATTACCTCACCTGTCCGTAAGTGGACGACATCCAGCAAAGCAAACCAATTTGTCAGCTCTCCTTTCCCGCGGAAACAGAAACAGTATACGTCACACTGTTACGAGCATGTCTACTCACGATGCCGGTGCACAGCTTGGAGTCGTCATAAGTGTAGATGCTGGTCAATCTCGACGTCAGGCTCGCTGTGGTCTGGACGCTGGTCAACGCAAGCCCAGAGATCAGCTGGAAGAACCCCGACGGCGCCATGGCTAAGATCCCAAGCGGCCAAGCTAGCACCGAGACATAGCGAAGTTACATCTATGTCTTGATCGCTCCAATATCACGCACGCGTCTACCGAAACCTTCCTTAGGGGCCTATGGATAGTTCAAAGAACCTTTCTTGGCGAAGCCTTTTTTGTTGAGGGTCGTTACTGCAGTGAAAGCCGAGGAGTCTTGTTGACATCCTTGCGCTCATTTGGCCTCCAGCACACGTTTGATTGTTTTGTTTTTTCTTTGTATAGCTTTTCTCCTTTCCTATCAAGCTCGATCATGCGTTCGTCATGGCTAGACCGCGTCATCGAGCGTAACGGATCCATACTCCGTTTCACACCAAGTCAGACCGCAGCGGAGGCGACGATTCGGTGTAGTTAATCAAGAAGCACCAAAAGTGCATTGTCATGGCGCTCGTCGACTTTGTACGTTTTCTATCCTCGGCTAGACCAATCACGAGCAGAAAAAAAAAAAAAAAGCCCAGGATGGTGGGGCATTCAGTCTGGGTGTTTGGTTTGGCCCAAGATCGCAAACGCACAAAAACGATGACGATGCACTTTTTGGCGCTAATTGGCTCCATCAAATCGCAGCGTCGGCTGTGGTCGAACTTGGAGTGAAACGAAGTATACAGCCAGCAAATAATCGGTGATATTGCCAAATGTACTGGCAGCCCTTGGGAGGCACCCTGTGGTATTGCCCCATTATAAAACTCTGGACGAAAACTCGAGGAAGTTATTCTTGCAGGAGCGTGTTAAGTAATATCATCCGGTCTTTATTGCAAAGAGAAGCGACGAAGGCCAACCGTAATAGCTAGTGCTTTAGAGGCGTGTTTGATTAACAAAACAATACCAGCCGGGAAAAAAATTAGGCGAGCTTTTGTGTTCTCGTCGTTCGTATTCGCTTCGACAGGTCCCGTGCAAACGTGTGTTTCGCACCAGGGCAAGCGGTATGAGTCGAGTGTGTGGGATTTTATATAAAACACAAGCAACAGAGCCAAGATCTGAACGCTAAGCTGTTCGCTGACACTGAGAACCCCCCAAAAAAAAAGGTTTTATTTTTTGCCAGGCGATCCATTGTGCTGTCAGAAGGCTACCCAATCAATATTTTGCTACAGTGTCACGCATGTATTTTTAATGAAGTAAAAAACGCAACTGCGTGAAACTGAAACCGAAACTGGACTGGGGAGGAAGAAGAAATATAGAGGATGAGAAAGTTACGAAAAATCACGGGGTTGTGCAACTTTTTCTTTTTTTCAATCAACGTATTTGCAGTTTCTCACAAGCCACAAAAAATGGGTATCATATTTTTTGCCTATTTTTCGCACTGAGTGTGGGCCTTCGATGACCTACGACTGATTATCTTTGGTGGTTGTCTAAAGTCTAAACCATAGAAAATGGCACGCGACCACGGAGAAGAGATTAAGAGCGACCCAAACCGGCCAGTTCTCGATCGGCGGTTTTCGGTAGGAGAGAAAACGAATTTCGAGCCGCAAATTGCGTTCTGACTAGCTGGGCACTCATATGTCATGTACAAATAAAAACCTTGGCATACATAAATACCCTGTCAGTTTCCCTTTAAACTACACTATATTTTTTTCGTTTCACTCATCCCGATAGTGTTACATACGAGTTTGAATGAGTAAAGTAGGCTACCTGGATCCCTCGGGAAACTATATATGCATCCTTTGAGAAATTGTCTTTCTCAAGACACGGTGGCTTTGATGTAGCTGCTGTGAACTGTCAATATTCTTCCTTCTTTCCACAACGTCCTCGGCCGATCTATATCATGTAGGAGGGCAAGATCTCTTAGTTACAAGCTATTTTATTATCTGGGAGCAGCGTATAGCGTAGGCTAGTACAGTGCATAATCAGCAACTCGAGCAACTATTTTTTCTCGCCTTGTTCAAACATTAGGTAAAAAGGCCAAGCAACGATATTGGATAGAAATGTTTCCCACTTTAGACTAGCTTACTGGCGCTAGTGGGACCCAAGTATACTCACACCCAACACCACTGACCAAAAATCTTCCTTGTCACCGCGTAATATTAGGGATGAAAGTGGACGCTTTCTTTCAGTCTGTCTTTTGCAAAAATGAAGAAGTTTTGGGGATCCCATTGTTGGCGATGTCAACAATGCAATCCCAAGGATTCCGTCATCATATTTTGCAATGTCCCTTCCGGACACTCTACCCGCGGTGACGACATCTAAATTCGGCTCATAGAGTGGACATAATGCCACTGTATCCCGGGATAGTAGCGCCAAGCTCCCCATATGGTCGCAATTTCGGTTCATCGAATGAACAGTTTCTCCTTCACCTTTTCATTCTTGGTGAACCGATCTAAATGCGCTGGTGACGGGTAGCTTTGATGAGACGTTTCTTGAATGCCGAGATTTCGTTATCCACATATCGGCGAAACAAGCACATCCACATCTTCGCACCGATACAAGATGTGGTGTCAGTGCTTGGCGGCATTGAACAATAATTTTCCTGTCTTTAAATACGCAAGAACAAATAAGACCATTGTAAGAGAGCTGTGGAGACAGGCATGATTGACAAGTGTATTGCGTGCACAGCGCCAAAGACGCTAATATTGGCGAGGAACGCTAACAGATGCTTCATAGCGATCTTGGTACGACTGGTTCAGAACTATCGTTACGAATCTTCGAAGATTTGAATGAACCGAAATGGCGATTGCCGGGGCAACTAAATCCGATCAGCCCATCACCTTGTGAGGTTTGGTCGTCGGCATGTCAGTATCTGTTGGCGTCCTGCTAGCGGGCAGAGAAGGCAATTGCGCTACTTTCCCGGACCCAGTGACTTCAAGTGACCACTGACGAGCACCGCGTGAACGTTCAATTTGGGTTGCGTGACAATCAATGCCTCGACCATATACATCCTCCTATATACTGACAAAGTCTGACAGGTCGCCACGAGAAGCAGTCACCGAAATGGAAAAGGTGGAGCAGCAGACAATGGTTGGGAGGAGAGCCACGTGACTGGCGCCCCCGCTGCGGTGAGACGTCGAAACACACTTCTCCCGAGCGAACGTGTGTGTTTCGGGTCCTCGCCGCTGAAAAAACTGTGCTCTGACGTCCGGGTTCCCCGAAAAATGGCTCTTTGATGCTCTGCGCTACCAGATCCTCGCGCACCAAATATGCGACCGTCCACTCCATGGCTCCGTCGATGAACTGCCAGGCTTTGTGAGTATAACGAGTAGTCACTGGGCGCCATATTTGTGGGTGCCGTCTAGAGCGCATGCTCAGAACGAGCGCACATTAATGCAATCTTGAGGGTGCGGAATGCACGTTACAAAAGAACTGTGGAACCTCGCCATCAGCACGCGCTCGAGCAGTCACGCACACAGCTATGGCCGCCAGTGAATACTTCCTATTGGCGACGTGCGCGACCGAAAGCGTCGCTGCGGCCTTCCACGATTGGCCCAAAAGCTGTCTGTGACGTCGGAAAGGGTATACCATCGACGGAAATAAGAGGAATGAAAGAACTCTAATTTCGACGGTGTTGGCAGTGTTGCTTTGAGTGCGCAATGACTTCAGGCTTCCACCATGCTATTTACAAACACCATCGAACTTGTTGTTCGCAAGGTAATGACGTCACAAGGGGGAACCATAGGAGGGCGCCACCAAAACATCTCGCCGCTAATTAGCGGCGAGTTGTTTCGGTGGCGCCCTCGTTTGGTTGCCTTTCGTGACGTCACCGCGTTGTGAACAACAAGTTCGATGGTGTTTTTAATGAGCATGGTGGAAGCCTGAAATCATAGCGCTTTCAAAGTAACACTGCCCACACCGTCAAAATTGAAGTTCTTACATTTCTCTTACTTCCGTCGATGAGAAAACCTTTGCTGACATCATAGTCACAACTCGGCCAATCGTAGAAGGCCGGCGACGCTTTTGATCGCGTACGTCGCCAATAGAGGAGGCTATGCCTTGACGTACATTCGGGTAGTGCCTCGTGCACAATGGTTTCAATGGCGGGAATAGCCGAATCTTAACAATGCGTGGAAGTCAGCCCGTGCCCTATGCTCTGACAGCCCCGTCGCGTGGCGATAAAGGGGTATTCACACGAAGAGAAATCCCGGGGATTTCTCCCCGGCACGTGCGCATCATGAAATGAAAACGCGAGGCTTTTGCACATCGCAAAGCCTGACGTTTTCGTCGTGGGATGCCCGTGCCGGGGAGAAATCCCCGGGATTTTTCCCTCGTGTGAATACCCCTTCATTGTCGGCCAATAATCAGCTAAAGATCACGTGGCCGCCGTTTGTTTTGGCCTTGAAATAACATTGCTAATTTTTCTCAAATTCAAATGACAATGCATAAAAAAAATTCTAGCGTGTGTGTTATAGATTACAAATGACAAGGAGTATCTTTTTTTTTTTTTTTTTTTTGCTGAAAGAACAAACATTTTTGCATCACCCCTTTAAAACCTGCTGGTGGTTATTCAGTTGTTCGTGAAGTTCCCCGAATGCTTAGTTGAGGGGATTCATTCCCCGTGCCTTGGTGGTATTGTAGTGAAACAATAAGGAACAAAGTATAAACTCGCGTTCCACCTGTCGGCTTCTCCTGCGCTTCATCGAGACCTTTCTGCAAAAGGGCGCCCTCGTCTTGAAATATCGTCACTTTCAGTATGAGTGAGAACGTTGTTTTGCCGTCGCCACGCCAATAGAATACATTTAGGAAATAAGCGTGCAACCGGTACTCCTTCTTGTTTTGTCGTTCCTTTATTTATTAATTTTCTTTTTTTATTTGCGAGTTGAAAGGTTCTATTATTTTTTCGTCGCCCATACCGGATATGCCTACCAGGTGGCTGGGAACGAGAGTAAGCGAAAAAGGTCTATAAGGGTAGAAACTGAGGGAGAGGAGAAATGGGAGCGTGCGACTACGTCAGGGATTGAAAAAAATAGTGGGTAGAGGCAGAGGATGGGCTGCCTTTGTCGCTTATACCACTGTTTCCCTTTAGACAGAACTAGTGCCACTGAATAC